ACGCACACCACCACAGCCCCCACTCCAGGGCCGCCCCCCACCCCCAGAAGCCTGCCGCCGTGGGTTCCGGGGCAGCTGGAGGAATTACTTCCGTCGGGTCACGGACGCTTTCCACCACACGCGGGAGATTAGTTATCTCGTAAAGCGGAGACGCATTGAGAGTGTCGCCCACTTCCGTCCACAGGAAGTGTAGAGCGCCGCCTTTTCTCTGTGCTACAGTACCCCAGGCCAGTGTGTGTGGGGGGGAGCGATCACCGGCAAATCTCAACCAATGTGATACGAGGTCTTCTGATTCCCAGTATGTAGCGCCGACCTTGATCCAATTTCCTCAGGGACAGCACCCTCTGAGAGAGGCTCGGGGGTCCGAGGCCGCACTTCATCCTGGGATTTGTAGTTTCTCCGGCAGGTCTGTCGGATTTGGTCGAGGCAGTAGTGCATCCTGGGACTTGTAGTTTCTCATGCTGGGTGTAAAGATTTGGGCTATTTTAGAGGATATCCCTGCCTCTCGTTTGGGGCTACGCCTGGGAGCCGGAGACTCTCTGCAGAAGAAAGATCGAAAGGTGGTAGCGCGGTCTCTATGCTAATAAGATCGTGTTCTTTAGGAAGAAACATCTATTGTGAGAAGTTGCAGTGCGTGTTTGAAGAGCTTCTCAACTGCTGGCGCAATCGGCTGGCCTCATTTCCTCTCTTCCCGGTACCTTTCAATGTTTTCCGAAAACTGCTCCTCCCCTTCGTCCCCTCCCAGCTCCGGTTTTGCTCAGCTCTTTTCGATTCTGAGATCATTCACAGAAATTCCAGGCGTCTGCCGCCAGCACTCAATTCTGAGACCATATTTGTCACTCCACGCCCCCTCTGCCCTCCCCCACCCCACTCCCCGTACCCTTTCTTGCTCTCTTTCGATCCACCTAATCCTTTTTACTTGCTTTCCTGTGGTTAATAGCAGGCACCCTTCCAGGAAGGCTGAAACAGCTAAATATTCACCCTCTTTAGAGGACTGTCGCACTTAGGGAAAGTAGGGCCAAAAAGCTCACCATTGCAAGTTGCTCAACTAAGCACTGTCACGTAACAATGTCCTTAAAGGGGAACAGATACAGACAACCCAAAATTTGTTGACCTAATTAATGACTTTTGCCTGAAGTACATTTTTAGTTGATTTGGCAGATAAGAGGTATTGCTTTTTACAGAAAGACTTTCCTGGGTTAACTTATCAAAGCCTTTGCAAAAACTGTTAAACTTTTTTGTTTGTAATGGTACTCAGAGATTGGAGATGGGTGAGAAGAGGAGGCTGTGGGCCAGTTTTCAGACTTTTCCATCTTTACCTCTAAAGTGTCTTTTTCTCTTCTATGTTGCCCTTTTTTCTTCACTACTCATCACCCTCTAAAGGGTGGTAGTAGTCTAGACAATGATAAAATTTTCCAGGTGAAGATGCTGAAGCTAGCTAGTGCCAGGTTTAAGGTTAGACTGTAGGGTAAGACTTCTTTTTTTCTTTTGCGCAAAATTTTATTTTAAAATATCTATGTAATAAATATACATGTTTATTATAAAAATGCAGAAATTGCAGATAAGTTTGTTCTTTCCATGAGCTTTTACACAGATCATGCACTTGGTTGTTCTGATACGTAGTCTGTGTTGTTGACAGAAGCCACTGTCAGGACAGAATATGGAGAGACAATGGTTTCCTGTAGGCAAAGTTGTCAGACATTGGTGCATTTTGTCTCCCTTTTAAACCTTTATGCAAAACATATTATAAAAAAAAGTGGGCTAGACTCAGAGGAAGGAGGAGTGAAAATTGGTAAAAGAAATATCAATAATTTAAGATATGCAGATGACACCGTCTTACTGGCAGAAAGTAGCAACAATTTGAAGTGACTTTTGATAATAGTGAAAGAAGAAAGTGCCAAAACTGCATTTGAACATCAAGAAGACAAAAAAAAAAAAAAAAAAAGACTACAGAAAAAATACACAACTTTAACATAGACCACAAAAACTTGAAATTGTTAAAGATTTACCTTGGTTCTCTCATCAGCTCAAATGGAGATCGCAATCAAGAAATCAAGACAAAGCTAAGGCTTGAAAGGGCACCAATGGAAGAATTTTGCAAGGTCACCACGAGCAAAGATGTGTCATTAGAGACCAAAGGCTAAGACCATCCATACCCTCATAATCTCATTCCTATGTAAAGATGGTAAAGTTGGACAGTGAAGATGGCTGATAGGAAAAAAAAAATGTCTTATTTGAAATGCAGTGTTGGGGGAGAGCTCTATGGATATCCTGAGTTGCCAAAAAGATGAAACAAGTGCAAAATCAAGTTAAGCCTGAAACATTGCTGGAGGCAAATGACAAAACTGAAGCTTTCCCCACTTTGAGCATATCATGAGAAGATATGGTTCTTTCAAAAAGAAAATAAGGCTGGGAAAAATAAAAGGCAGCAGGAAAAGGGGAAGACCAAATACGAGATGGATTGATTACATAAAAGAAGCCATAGGCATGAGTCTACAGGAGCTGAGCAGGACTGTTGAGGACAGGACATTGTGGATGTCACTTATTCATGGGATTGCCAGGAGTCAGAGCTGCCTGCCTCAATACCATGTAACACACACTGTATAGATATGGTTCTGTATACTATTTACTTTCCAACTTAACAAATCTCAAAAACCCACACCTCTGTAACCAAAATCTCTACAAGCATAATTTTAAATGTCTGCATAGCCCTGGTTGGTGTGGCTCAGTGGATTGAGTGCTGGTCTGCAAAAGAAGGGGTCGCCAGTTAGACTCACAGTCAGCAGGCCAGATCCCCAGTTGGGAGCATGTGAGGGGCCACCACACATTGATGTTCCTCTCCCTCTTTTTGTCTCTCTCTTCCCCTCTAAAAATAAATAAGTAAAATTCTTTTAAACATAAAAATAAATAAATGCCTGAATAGAATTGCATTGCCAAAATGTCCCATGATTCACTTAAGTATTTCCTTAATGTTGGCTATTTATTTCCATTTCTAAAGCATTTTCAGTAATGCTGTGTTCAGTACCTCTAAAGAAATCTTCAGCCATTTTTTTTGATTATTTCTTTGGAATATGAATTTTTTAAAAATCTTGACAATTTGTTGATGAATTTTTTTCTAGGAAGAGTCTCCCTGTATATGCTTCAAACCAGTAATATATAAAGTTTTTATGGTTCTTAGCAATATACTAGCTTTACCAATATTTTTCCTTTTTTTTCCCGTGATGCCATTCTGCCTTTATGGTCACCTTAAAGTATGGAAAGAGGGTTGGTGGATAAGGAGGAAAGATAGCTAAAAAACAAACAAAAACTACATATAATAATAACCCATTTTCAATTTTTCTGTCCCCCATTTTTAAAGGAAACCTCTCAGATTATATCAACAGGAAATCAAAACTTAATTTTCAAAAAATCTTGGTATCATCCTAAAACCCCATTCAAGTAGTTTACATTCAATGAATGTCTCTAAATTACTAGACTTGAGAAATCTATTTAACAATGCATAACAATTTCGTATAATTTTATAGTATGGTTTTCCGATGTGATTTCATTTTAGCTATTTAGAAACCTTGAGTAGACCAAATGTTATTTTTATTTGCTGACTGTATCTGTAGGAAGAAACTAAGCTTAACAGAAGATAAAAATGCAGGTTTTCTCAGCATATTGTTGATATAATCAAATGAGAAGGCCATTAGACTGAGATGACTCTGATACTTGGTAACCTAGGAAGCAGACCAAAACCTAAGTCAGAGTCAATTCCTATAAATACCTCAAGGATAAGAACAACCAATCACAAACAGCTAAATAGGTTTTCCCAAATAAGGCAGCCACTTAAGTTATGGCCAGTAAAACAATTTCTTTGCTTTGCTTGTGCATCTTTATAAAAACATTGCCCTTAGCTCCCATCAGTTGAGCCCTTCTAACCAGTTCCAGTTTGGTGCTGCCTGATTTGAATAAATTTTTGCTCAAATATACTAAAAATTATTAGTATGCCTCATTTTATTTTTTTAACAATATTAAAAACACTGTATGAACAGAAAAAGTTAAATATGTATCAGTCAAATAATGGATAATTGATGTTGTCCACATATGAATTATACTGTTTAGGAGAGTTTTGTAAAATGTAAGTGGAAGATTACTTTCAGAATGAAGTTATTGATAAAGAAGTAGTATAATTTTATCTTTCTGGGTACCCAGAAAAAAGCAGACAAGATTTGGAGTTGGTAAGGTGATATTACTGTACTGTTCTTATGCAAATAACATGTTCAGCCAACAGCAGTTCTCAACGAGTAAACAAAAGTGATTTTACCATTTGGGTGCTCATCCTTCAAGACTAAGATGAACATGAGGCCTTTAGACATTCTGAGGCCAAATTAATCATGTATTATGGGCTTCTTTAGCATTTTGTGAATTGCTATATTTTAATTATATTACAGGATTATATTTTAGCTTATTTATAGATATATCCTCCACTATGTGAGCACTGTGGATTGCCAATTATATACAGTATCTTTGTATGCTCTGCTTCGTAGTCCTGACAGTACACGTTTAGCCCCCTTTAACAAGAGGCGATCGTGTATATATGGATGTGAATGATTTCCCAAGCCAAATTTAACATTTCAACATTCTGTGAACAAGTTCCATTTATTTTGTCAACCCACTGGTTGCATTGAATTACCATTCATTTTCGTTTAAATCGTATACAGTATTATTCCTCGCTGTCTAGAGGCTAGAATCATTTTCCGCAAAGAAAATAGTTTGGGCCTACAGAAATGACTCCCACGAGAATGAAACATTTATTCCTGGCTTCCAGGCTTTGTCCTTCGCGTATGGCTTTCCCCCTATTCCTTCCACACTGTCAGCGGAGCGCCAGTCTACCGGACAGCCAAACCCCACGCGCCGGGTGGGCGTTTTGCGGACTGCGGTAGCGAATTCAGAACTACACAACCGGGAACGCACGCGACCGGGGGAAAGGTTGTAGGCGGGCCGCATAGTGTGTACACGTGCGGCGGCCAATCCGGCCCGGTGGCCCTTAGGTTGCGGGGCGTGCGCGACTCATCCAGGCTGGCCTTAACGGTTACGGGCGGTCTCCGCAGTCGTGCGTTGCCACTTCTCACGTGCGGAATGTTGCTTCTGGCGTTGGGAAGGCCTTTGGCGGCTGGACGGCAACTCCGCGGAAAGAGGGCGGTGCTGTGGGCGGCCACGGCTCTCCGAAACCCTAGGGCAGCTGTGTCACAGGCGGCCTCCGGCAACAGCTCCCCGGGGCCGGTCGGCGGCAGGAGAGCTGGGCTGCGGGGTGCCGTCCCACTTTTCCGGCGCCCCGTGCCTTCACAGGTCGGTCGTCGGAGGCCTTGCGGACCGGAGTAAGGGTGGGTCGTGGGCGTAGCGTCCGACCTGGGGAGGCCAGGCTCTCCGACAGCTTCTTCCCACGCTTGCGGTGGCTCTAGTGCGGAAGGAGCCCTCCCGCGAGGTCGCCGGGAGTAGCAGGCCTTGCCTGTGGAACAACCCGTGGTCCCGGGGGGCACGGCGCTGGCGAGTGTAAGATCATCCGTCGGAAAGTGGTTATTCTGTGGGTGGTTCCAGGCTCTTTACACGGGGTTGCAAATCCAGCGGATCTGTGAAGATTTATTTTCTCCTGCTCTTTAGCAGAAGCTCGGAAGGGTTAATTTGCAGCAAACGTGCGTGCACCACCTAAACCCGAATTAAGAACTCGGATAACCTGACTTTGAGTTCTATTTTTTTATTGGGTGGTTCTATGTTTAGGAATTCTTTTGCTCCCTGGACAAATGGGATGGAGACATTAATTTTCTCATTTTAATCTCAATAAATTGTCTTCTAATCTTGTCCTTTAGAATACCAGGATTAGCAGACATGGATGAAACTTGGACGAAATCCCTAACATGGGAATTCGAACCTAATATTTCAGCAGAAAGCAATTAAGCATATCTTTTGAAGTGTGTGTGCTGTAAAATTCATTTTCAAACGTCCAGGAACTCTTGTTCCCGTGAAATTAGATGTTAGATTTCAAGTAAAATATTTTTTAAAAAAGGAACAAGGGATGAAAGGGGATGGATATGAGGCCTTAAGGGAAAGGGTTACTCTCTCTTTCTTGTACTGTACTAGATATAGTATATTTTAGAAGTATGAAAAACGTATTACACAATCTGATTTTTCGATGTTTTACTTTATGTTATTAAGATTAGTTTTTGAAGAGCAAGTGCATGTAAATCTTTGGTAATCAAACGAGAGCGATGTCCTCATTAACAGTTAAATAGAAGAAACTATTCCAGTAAACATTTTATGTGCTCAAGGTCACACTATTTAAAAAGTTTGGAACAGGGATGCAAACTTAGGTCTTAAAACTCCCAACTCAGCATGTGTCTAGTTATGGCTGGTATTAAGGAAAGCCATTCTATTAGCCAGTTTGATTACTTTAGCTCTGCAGATTATTTGGGAAAATTCCTTAAAACACCTCATGTGACAAGTTCTCTTTTCATTATCTTAATTTTTTTTTAAATTTACAAGTTGGTCTAAATGCAATTTATTATGTACTTACAAAGTTCTCTGTTTCCATAGATACATGTTTGTTGGGAAAGATGTGTTCGATGCTTACGTACACAAGTTGAAAAATCAGAAGATGGAAGACTGATTTATACTGGAAATCTGGCCCGAACAGTATTTGGTGGGTGATCAGAAATGAGGCTATTTTCTTTTTTCTTTTTTTCCTTTTAATTGTTAAAAAAAGAAAATGGTCTTGTGTTGCTTTAGAGCACCTCTTAATTGCAAGACAGAAGGAAATTTTAAATTATAGTTTTCTTCTTGTGACCTTTTGATGTAAGATTTAGAGGTTGAGGCCTTTGCATTTTTAGATTTAAAATAGCTTTTTGAACTCTATTATGACTTTGTGATCTTATGGCTGGATGCTAAAGCTTCCTTCCTTTGGTCACCTCTTGGGATGTTTAACAACAAAATACAACAAAAGGTGTATATTTGTATAATGTTTGAATATACAGACAAAAAATGGAAGAATACCTCTGAAGAGTAGTTATTTTGGGGAAATACACATTTATTTTATATATATTTTAAAATTTGGCAGTTAAAATGAGCATGTTATACTTTCTTTTAACAAACATGTTTTTTAGTGGCCTTTCCAGGTGGTAGAAAGTTGTGGAGAAGGAAAAGATAGTATGCTAAATTGCTGCAATTTTTTTAAAAAATATATTTTATTGATTATGCTATTACAGTTGTTCCATTTTTCCTCCCCTTTATTCCCCTCATCCCTGCACTGCCCCCGCAACCTGCATTCCCCCGACCCCCTGCCCTTAGTTCATGTCCATGGGTCGTACATATAAGTTCTTTGGCTTCTCCATTTCCTATACTATTCTTAACCTCCCCCTGTCTATTTTGTACCTACTATTTTTGCTGCTTAATCCGTGTACCTTTTCCCCAATGCCCCCCCACCCACTCCCCTCTGGTCTCCATTTCTGTGATTCCGTTCCTGTTCTAATTGTTTGCTTAGTTTGTTTTTGTTTTTGTTTTTTTAGGTTCAGTTGTTGATAGTTGTGCGTTTGTTGTCATCTTACTGTTCATAGTTTTTGATCTTCTCCTTCTTCTTAGATAAGTCCCTTTAACATTTCATAGAATAAGGGCTTGGTGATGATGAACTCCTTTACCTTGACCTTGTTTGGGAATCACTTTATCCTCCTTTTCATTCTAATTGATAGCTTTTGGCTGGATAGAGCAATCTTGGATGTAGGTCCTTGGCCTTCATGACTTTGAATACTTCTTTCCAGCCCCTCCTTGCCTGCATGGTTTCTTTTGAGAGATCAGCTGAGAGTCTTATGGGAACTCCTTTGTAGGGAACTGTCTCCTTTTCTCTTGCTGCTTTTAAGATTCTCTCCTATCTTTAATCTTGGGTAATGTAACTATGATGTGCCTTGGTGTGTGCTTCCTTGGGTCCAACTTCTTTGGGACTCTCTGAGCTTCCTGGATCTCCTGAAGTCTCTTTCTTTTGCCAGATTGGGGAAGTTCTCCTTCATTATTTTTTCAAGTAAGTTTTCAGTTTCTTGCTCTTCTTCTTCTCCTTCTGGCACCCCTATGATTCGGATGTTGGAACATTTAACGTTGTCCCGGAGGTTCCTAAGCCTCTCCTCATTCTTTTGAACTCTTGTTTTTTCATTTTGTTTCAGTTGAATGTTTATCTCTTCCTTCTGCTCCCAATCGTTGATTTGAGTCCCGGTTTCCTTCCCTTTACTGTTGGTTCCTTGTATATTTTTCTTTATTTCAGTTTGTGTAGCCTTCATTTTTACCCTCCATTTTGCAACCATACTCAACCATTTGTGTGAGCATCCAGATTACCAGTGTTTTGAACTGTGCATCTGATAGGCTGGCTCTCTCTTCATTGCTTAGTTCCATTTTTGGAGCTGTGATCTGTTCTTTCATTTGCGCCATTTTTCTTTGTCTCAGCAGGCCTTGTACGTTGGGTGGGGCAGAACCTTAGGTGTTCGCCAGGGTGGAGCAACCCAGGTCCCTGTGTTGTGATGCTTGTGTGTAGAGGAGGGGTCTGAGAGGGAACAATGCTGCTTGGGCTCTGGGCAGGCTTGTTTCAAGTCACTTCCCCTGCTACCCACAAGCAAATTGGGCCCTTCTAGAGCTGATTCCCAGGTGTTGGGGTTTGTTTGTGTTCTAGGACCCTGTGGATCTCTCCAATGAACTCTCCTGTGAGGCTGGGAGCTTCTGCTACAACCCCTACAGGTTTTTACCTTCATAGGTTTTGAGGCTTTCTTTCCTATACTGGAACCCTGGGTTGTATGATCTGTCTCGCCCCCCAGCTATTTCTCTTGGTTTATCCATATGTAAACGTGGAACTGCCCTGTCCGCCAGCCACTGCCTTGCTGAGCATACTCTCCGCTCCAGCTGCCCATCTCCGCCCCTCCTACCAGTCTGGATGAATGTTTCTTCTTTAGCTCTGTGGTTGTTGGACTTCCATACATTTTGATTTTCTGGCAGTTCTGGTTATTTTTTGTTTTTAAATTTGTTGTTGTCCTTCTTCTGTTTGTGTGAGGATGCAAAATGTATCTACCTATGAACCAATCTTGGCCCCCACTGTTGTTATTTTTTCAAATTTTTATTTATTTATTTATTTTTGTAATTTGTTGTTCTAATCCTGGGCACTTGGCTTGATAAAGTTAGCCCAAATTTGAAGATTTTATATTAGATATGTGGAAGTGCTTGTTAAGAGAGTTTTATTGATAATTTGCTGACTGAATTGATTTTTATAGTGTTTATAAGACTGTTTGAATAATATTAAATCTCTTATTGGGGAACTGAGGTAGAAGCCAGTTAACCCTAAAGTAATTTCCCATTTGGAGACACTGTATTGGAAGGGCCAACAGCCTGAACTCATCACATGGCCTTGACTTGAATCCCAGCACTGCCACTTAGTCAATATATAACATCGAGCAAATGCTTTATTTTTCACATCTCTTAAATGACCTCATGATAATAATTATGCATCTATGTTGTAGGGTTTTCTATAGATTTCATGAATAAAATATGTAAAGTGCTTAAAAGAGAGTCTGGAATGTTATATATCTTATGTGTGTTTTGATTTTGTTGTAGTTTTAATGATGATATAGTAAGAAGAAAAAGTGCAAAATTAATTGAATAGATTGATTCTTAAAAGTACTAATTCTCTTCCCCTTTCTCCCATTTAGGTGTGAAATGTTTCTCTTACTCTACAAGTGTGATCAGCCTTGCATTTCTACCCTACATTTTTGCACAAAATAATATTGTATTTGGAAGTCTGCCTTTGCAAGTCTTATTTTATGGCATCATAGGAAGCTTTACAGTGATCACTCCAGTACTGCTTCACTTTGTTACAAAAGGCTATGTCATTCGTTTGTACCATGAGGCCACAACGGACACATATAAAGCCATTACTTATAATGTTGCGCTTTCAGAAACGAGTACAGTGTTTCATCAGAATGATGTGAAGATTCCAAACAGTGCACATGTATTTACCACATTTTATGCTAAAACAAAATCACTGTTAGTTAATCCAAGTCTCTTTCCAAACCCCAAAGACTATGACCATCTTATGGGTTATGACAAACCGTTTACTTTTGATATGGAAGAAATCAGTGAAAAGAAACAGCTTAAAGATGAGAAATGATTCTACTCTTTTTATATTTTGCTTAAATGTGATTTATTTTCCCATGTGTAATAATAATTGTTTTCTGTTAGTGACTGATTGTTAAAAATAATTTGAAACTATTGCAAACAACTTTTAATTAATTTTCAGAGAATTATGTTTCTTTATAATAACAAGCTATGTGAAAACAAAGCATATAATATTAAACCACTTGTGTTTTTAAAAAGGTGTGAAAATATATGTACATGTTGGCATATGCACAAACAATTGAATTAAGTGTGGTTGCCTCTCTGCTGGGGGTCATGTCAGACGCATAAGGGGGAGTTAATTTTTCTTTGTATAGAGATCAGATATCAAGGAAATAGGGGAAGTTATTTTTATTTTGTGTTTAAATTTTTCAAAGTGTTTTATAGATACTATCTTCTCACATTAAGAACTCTTTTTAAAAATTTATAAATTCTGGAAAGCAGTGTTAATCTCTCTTTCGTCCAGCACACAGTTTATTGCCTACATATTCTGGCAGAGTTGCCTATAATAAGCTCTCCATGTGCAGTCAAGTGTGGTCAGCTCTGGGGGAAGTGGTGACCTAAATAGTGTTGTCTTATGTGGTCCCATTTGTCCCTTGTGTGTACTCCTTCCTTGGTGCACCATTGGTAGGAAAGTCACATGTACTGAATAGATGGATGGTACCTTTTATAAAATAGCAATCTCTATGCTAATTTCTTTTTAAAAAGAAATATCAACCTGCTATTCTACCCATTTATGAGTTCTTTGGTTGATTCTTGTAAGTGCTCTGCCTGGGAATAGAACCCACAACCTTGGCATATTGGGTTGACAATTAGCAACCCAGCCAGGGACATGCTAACTCATTAAATATTGGCATTTTAAGATTTTTACCTCTGATGGTAAAATAAAAATTGGTCCCCATGAATAATTTTCAGCTAAGAGCAGAAGACCTCAAACCATGCTATTTAGATCTGCAGATACTTAACTATGTGCTTAAAGTTTGCCAGGTACTGTGCTAGTTTCCAAAGTCACAGTTAAGAACAACATACCCAGACTGGAGCTACCTAAAGTCTTACTGCCTGCCCAGGAGGTAAATCTAATCATGCCTCAGTGTAGGGGAGGATGATGGGGAAGCAGCAGGGCCATCACTAGTTCACAGGGAAGATGATTTCAAGTCTGAGGCTGCTGTGAGCTTGCGGTTAAGGTAGAAAAGTACTCATCTTTCCAAGATCCAGAGCCTGCTTTCTGAGAGTATGGGCTCTGGGTCTCAGAAAGATGAACAAGCTGATGCCATCTCTGTCCTCAGGCTGGGTATCTTCCTGCCTGTTCTGTCCTACATTACCTAGATATGTTTCTGTTGCTGTGTTAGCAGTTAATGTTATTATTGTCTGTCTATAAAAATTATTAGATCATCAAATTGCTCATTAGAAAATACTGGAGAGTAGAAGTAAAAAAATCCTAGTTCTAGGAAAACCCAGTATTGTTAACATTGTAAAGTTTTTTTCGTTAAGGTTCATGTTCATCATAATTTGTTTTGGGTACATTTCACCTTTCTTCAAATGTTCTCTATTCATGTAACCATTTTGTAATCTGTAATGGAGTGAAAAATCTATTTTTATTAGTCAGAATAATTGTTCAGAAGGCAACTTGGTTGTTTAGGGAAAAGGGAAAAAGCTTTAAAAACTGAGAGAGAAAGATGACTTCTCAAAAGGATCAGTGTGCAGAAGATAACATGATGATTCTTCACTGAAGTCAGTCACCAGAAACAACTTGGGCCAACATAAGGAGGAGAAGTATATGTGCATCTCTCCATGCACCTCATTACCCTCACCCCAGGCAGAATGATCTTGGAAAGATTGGGAAGGTGATGAGTTCCCCACTGTCAGTGTGATGGGTATTGAGTCACTTTTATCTGAGTCTCAAAGGTCAGAGTTATCCTAGCTGATACCTGGGTTACATCAGGTAATAAGTGTACCTTTGAACAACAAAATGTATTGTAATCCTTTTCCTCAATATAGATTTCATTATACTGAAAGACTGTAGCTTTTGGGAACAAAGGTAACAAAATGACCATTAGGTATGAATGATAACCTTAGTTTGGAAACAATTGTTAAAATGGGATCCTCATTTTTTTCAGAACACTTTGTATTTTTGTTGCTTTTCTTTGAGAATTTAAGACATTCAGAAGTGTGAGAGTGCCAGGAGCTGACACGACCAATTTGTGGTCAATATTATTTCATCTAGACTCCAGCCACTTGCCCTCTGCTTTTATTTGGAAGCATCTCAGACATCATAACCTTACATATTTAATTTTGTAACTCTACAAAATAAGGACATAAAAAATATAACTTCTGTATCATTATAATACCTAAACCACCTCTCCCAGTGTTCTCAAACTGTTAAATATCCAATTGTTGTATAATTCCCCTCCCCCCCATCCCAGCACACACATTTTGTTTGGATTAAGATTTAAGTAAAGCTTATACCTTAGTGACCAATTTTTGACATGTCTTTTAAGACTTAAAATTATGGTCCCTTCCTTTTTTTTCTTTTTTTACTTTTGTTTCCTCGCAAATTATCTGTTGAAGAAATTCAGTTGTTTGACCTTCACATGTTTTCACAGTCTAGATTTTCTGATTGTATCCCCAAGGTGTAATTAGACATATTTCTCTGTCTTCTGTATTTCCTATAAATTGGAGTTGGACTTGAGGCTTTGTCAGATTGGGTATTGATTATTTTAGACAAGACTAATTCATAGATTATGTTGTTTATATTATCTATTGTTGCATTAAAAATTGCCCCTTAAACTTTAGATG